CTACTCACATTCAGCGTGCCGCCCTCCTTGCCCTACAGCCACAAATAAATCTCTCTTCATTTGAAAAATTCTCCCACTGTTTCCTTCAGGTATGGTTAATCAGAGCAGGCAATACTGAAATTTCTAAACAGATCAATAGATTTTGCACAATACACTTTATTATGGTACTTTATTTCTGGATGTGGCTAATATCTAGGTCCTTGTACACATTCAGCGTGCCGCCCTCCTTGCCCTACAGCCACAAATAAATCTCTCTTCATTTGAAAAATTCTCCCACTGTTTCCTTCAGGTATGGTTAATCAGAGCAGGCAATACTGAAATTTCTAAACAGATCAATAGATTTTGCACAATACACTTTATTATGGTACTTTATTTCTGGATGTGGCTAATATCTAGGTCCTTGTACTCTGTGATTCCACTCCAGACATATTTGGCATGGGATCCATCCATTGTTGTCAAATTACTCTCTGGGCTCTTGACTTTTATTTACCAGAACAATGGGTTTCTAGCACTGACAACTGGCAGGTGGGATTTTTAAAGGCAACTAAGGGGCTAAAATCTTTGTAAATCCCACAGGAAGGCTACTTGCATTTCTAGGCACTTGGATGCCTTTAAAAGTCTGGCAGTAAGTGTGAACAGGGTCATGTTGTCTTCCTGACTCTGGCAGACAACCTGACACTATACCTCTGAGAGGTGTGTCCTGCCCTGTGTAACCCCTTTGGGGTGTAGAAAACATTGCCCCTTTAATTCTTTTCCCTGAGGGGGAAGAAGTGCTGTTGAGGGACTGGAGCAGAAAGGGGAGAGCAACAGACGGGGTGTGTCTGGAGTCCCAGCCAGGAGGTCTGCAGCAAGCAGGCCCTTGCATAATGAAGCAGCCAAGAACCTACTAAAAGGGCAGAACAGCTGGCTGGGGATGCCCCTGGACAGGAGCCAGCAGGAGCACTGTGCCAGGGAGGAATCATCCGAAGACAAACCAGAGCTGCACCCAGTATCACTGCTGCACAATGTTGTATGGAGCCATGAACGCCAGAACTTGTGACTTTGCATTGGGAATAAGGAAGAAGTTTGTTGCTCTGTGTGGCTTGGCAGAAGAGGGCACCAGAGTGGTTTGTTGGGGAAAGTTTGCTGGTGCTGAAGATGACCAGGAACACCACCGGACTTGAACATTTCCCAGCACACCTGAACTCTGAGTACAGCCCCATTGCTCAGTGTCTGCCCTTTTGCACTGTGGTAATCAGGGCCTGTGCTGCCTTGAGTTGAAAGAAACAGCCTTTATATTTCTCCTGTTGTTTTTCTCCTTTCATCCCTCTGTAAATAAATATTTCCCTTTACTCTATTCATTGCACTTTTCTTCTGTGTGTGAACAGGTGTCCTTGGGGTGGAAGGAACTTTTGCTGCTGCATGCCTGCATGTGCCAGACCTATCTACAGAGCAAATTCCATCTTGGCCATGGGAGTGCTTATGTCTGCTTATGTTACATCTGCCTCCTCAATGAGGTGGTATCCCTGAAATCTAAAGACAACAGGCATGAGGAACCTTGTTAACTGTTTCACTATTGATCATTTTAGGAAAAACATCCAGTAAATGGGCCCCGTGGTAATAACATATGTTAAATTGAATTGTGTGTGGTAATTTACGGTTTTCTTTTGATGTATTGCAGTTGTATGTCACAAAAACAAACAAACAAAAAACCTCACACCACATGGAAATTCCTGCATAACAGTAGAGGTTATTTTATGTTTTACCGTCTAGTCTTGGGCTCCAATTCTGTGATCCCTACTCAAGCAAAACCCCCATTGTAGGGGAAGTTTTAGGCACCTGATGTCTAAAACAGTCACCAAACCTATGGGATTCTACTAGGACTGAGTCCAATAGCATGATGAAATGCCTAGACTAGAGGCTTTCTTTTGAGTGGCATATTTCAAATACTATCATTTAGATTTAGCAATGGTTTTGAAACAGGTAATATAGACTGTCTCAAAGACACCCTCTAGAGTTCAGCTTTCCTAAAAACTGTGAGGATTAGGATTTGGTATATAATAAACAAGATAGACTTGAGTTCCAATAGTTAAGTAAGTAATATTCTTTGAGTGCCCTCTGCTGGTTGTTATATGGCACGGTAACAGAGATCAGCTTCAGAATAAAATAGCTGAAACCATCTGGGTTTTGCTTTGAAAAAATAAAGTCACTACAAATCTGAAAAATATTTCACTGATCGACTTAGTATAAAATTTATTCTAATTTTGATAAAATGCTACAACTTTGAACTCACTTAATAATCTTCACTTTAAACTTTCTTAAAAAAAATAATTATCAATGTACTTAAAGATATGATGGATGAGTCAGTCATGATTTTTAAAAAATGGTGCCTACAATTAGGCTCCCAATATTGCTCCATCATTTACTTTATCATTAATTGCACTGAAAGTAATGTGAATACATTTGGAAAAAGCTGATATAAAAACTATGGGAAGAGTATCAGAAGCTGGACTTGTTGTGGCTTTAATATTAGTAAAATTGTGCTAAACTGTCAATGGAATGCTTTTGCAATGTGGTAGGATTTTCCAAAAAGCATGCAAGTTAGGAGGACAAATTCCACTGACTTCCTCAGAGATGCTTTTGAAAAATTCCTTGTTTTGAAAGTGAAATCTTTAAATATTACACCCTGGTTTGTTGTGGAAAGCTTATTTTTGCATTCTTTAAAAAATAAATTATCCAGGTTTTGGTGCTCTCCTCTGGATGTCTAGAGAAGTCCTTTTTGTCAGGGAGAAACTCATTAGGCTGAGGAACAGTGAAACTGTTTATACACAAAGTACAGTCCAAATCTACAAACTAAAGAAAAATAATTGACTTTTTTCCATTCAGAAAAATCTTAGGTGTTTCTTACAACTAGAGACAGATGAAAATTTTCCAACAGAACAGTTTTCCCTTGGAAAATGTTGATTTAGTGAAATTGAAACATTTTGTACAAAACATACTGATGTCATTGACATTTTCAACTGGAAATTAATTAAATAATCTGTTTTGATAAAATAGAAATATTCCATTTTGATAAAGTTGACATGTTTTATTTCAATAAGGTCAAAATGTTTTATTTTGACTTTATTATTTCAATTTTACATTCAAGTTGATATTATATTATATTATCATTTAACAAAACAATATACAAACCAAAATATTAAAACATTTATGCTACAAATGTAACACAAAAGTTGAGCAATGAATATTTGTCAATATGTTTCAGTGAAGTCATTTTGAGGTTTCCGAAAAAATGCTTTGAAATTTTTATTTCACAGTATTCTTAAGAATCTCAGCTTATTGTTCTAACTTAGGAAGAAAGCAAAACTTGAAAAGGTGGAGCTTCCGGTGGAATAGAAATACCATTTTGTGACTAGTTCTACCTACAACTTCAGTAGGCAGAACACTGTTCATTGGAAATATGATTGTCAAGTTGAGAGTGTCTCCATTAAATTAGAGAGGAAAATAGAGGGGTTGGGTTTTCTACCTAAGCCATGCACTGGCAGGCCAGAGTTCAGAAAATGATATTAGCTCCTTCAGTTCTGTATACAGGCAGTCCCCGGGTTACACCCTTACCTGATTAAGTTCATTAACACAAGCAATTTCTTCACTGTACAGGCAGTCCCTGGGTTACGTACAAGATAGGGACTGTAGGTTTGTTCTTAAGTTGAATTTGTATGTAAGTCGGAACTGGTACATATTGTAGGGGAAACTCTAGCCAAACATTTCTCCAGAGCTCAGTTTTATTCTCCCACACCTCACTTCCCTCAGTCCTTTATTCTCAAGCTGAGGTGTCTGCTGAGAAAAGCCGCTCCGCATCTCCCTGGTCTGCTGGGGGGAGCGCTAGCTTCGCGTCTCCCTGGTTTGCTGGGGGGAAGTAGCTAGTGCGGAGTTGCCTCACCCCGTTTGTAAGTAGGGATCCGATGTAAGTCGGATCCATGTAACCCGGGGACTGCCTGTAGATACTTAAAACTTATGCAAAGTGGATCTGTGGTAGGACTGAGGTGTTCCAGTGTAGTATTTGGAATGCAGTTATTGTGCCTAAAATCACATTCCAACCATTCAAAAATGTACAAACAGTTGCAATTAATCCATGTTAAACAGCATTTTCTTCATTAGTTAGTTCATGGAATTAGTAGTGTGTGTCACTGACAAGCAGATTCATATAAGGAAGTTTAATATAAATCATAATGTGCACCTAACTGCTCTTGCCAGTGACTATGTATTCATTCAGGTTTTACATTCTAAGCAGTGTGATTCTTTTGTTCAGGACATTCTGCAAGTTGATTTTAAAAGATGCCGTCCTCATTCATGCAACATGGATGGAATCGTTTTTTCTAAATACATGATTCTTTTTCCACATCAGAAGAACTTGACAAATATTCATTGCTTTTTGAGTTAGTGTCTTTGTTCATAGGAACACTTTCTTGCCCTTCATTTTCTGTGGATTTGGGGTCCTTTGCTTGGTAGTGTTTCTTCACCAATACATAAAGAAAGAAACCTAAGAAGTAGGATGGTACTCTTAAGCCTGCTACTAGGCCAAGGTAGGTATACCTGTGAAGACAAATGACAAACAACAGTTCTTCTAATATAAACAAACTTCAAAAAATTGCATGTACTAACTTCATTTAAATGGATCCTTTCAAGAACGGCACAAAAAGAAATCAGAAATGCACATTAGTTCCAGAACTCTTTCACATAACAGCTTAGGAGACAAAATCTCACATGACTTTGTGAAGTGTGCTATCAAGTGGACATTTTCCCTCTACTCCTACTGAATTTGTAGGAGCTTCTGGGGCCAGGATTCCTATAAGCCTGTGTCATAGGATCCCTTGTCCTGGCTACCTTGCATAAAAATAGAAATACTCCACAAATGTGTAGCCACTAAGTTGTACGAAATGTGAAAAAAATAGTTGCTTTGAATAGTCTTCAGGCAAATGCTTTGTAGAGAAACACTTGTTAAGCGCAACCACAATGTATTTGTCCTCAGCTGCCCAATGGCATTTATTTTCATTTGCTCACAGGTTAAACATGGCCAAAAAGCAAAGTGGGCAGTCTTTCCAATATGCATGGTAGGCAGTGTGAATTTGGATGTCTTTTCTGTTCCTGCTTGTAAATCACATGGGCCATGTCTACGTTACTGATAAGATCGAAGCAGCCACAGTCAATCTTCCAAAGTTCGAATTAGCGATGTCGGTAGTCCTTACGAGAAGCAAGGGAAGTCAAAGGGAAAGTGTGCTCCCTTCGACTTCCCACAGTGTGGACGCCACCAAAATTCAAGCTAAGGTACTTAAAATTAAACTGCACAATTAATGTCGCTGAAGTTGCGTATCTTAATGCGAACTTATCCCCTAATGTAGACCAGGCCATAGTGACTATGGATTTCTGAGCTGGTCCAAAGCATAGAACATAGATCTATTATTCAGGAAAGATTAATTCATAAGGTCAATGAGAGTTTTGCCTGAATAAGTAAGGCCTTTAGGAGTACAGTCTTTAGGATTTGGCCCCCAGATTAGTTAACATGGAGATTTCTTCACATTTGAGACCTATATGGAGGTGAAGCCAACATTCAGTGACCATGGCCAGAAGAAGAAATAATTTAGAATCCTGATGCAGAAAAGCAACTCGCAACCACTCTGTGTTTTGAGCAAACTTACCGATACGCATCAGCGTCATATATCCTACAAGCGCCTCGCTGTGCACAGCTACTGCTTCCCCATTTCAAGCATGTCCTGTCTATTAATGCACCAACGTAAACTGGGACTGGAATTCCGGCTGCAATAAAAGAATCAAAAATATATCATGGAAAAGATAATAGCATTTTCATATAAGCTCCAAACCCTGCCCCAGGTTGTAGTGGTGCTCTGGGTAGGCAATAGGGAGCCACTTCCTCCCTTTAATTGGAAAGAATGCTCCAGAAGAATAAATGGGGTGACTGAATTTGGTGCTGTTTAGAGCTCCATTGTGACATGGCTGGCCAGGCTATCAGGCTGTGGTGACACACTCTTGCTTTCTCCAGTATGTATTATTAGCTTAGCAGCTCTCAAATTGTTCTATAAAATGCTGCTGGTTTGCAGCTCAATTACTACAGCATTTTTCACAACTTTTAGTAGCACACAGACCTCATCCTGACACTCTTGCAGTGGGGTAAAATTCATTTCATGAAGCTGGCTCTGTTTTTTATTTACCACTGTAAAAAATGCATGGGAGAGGGGGGAAGGTAAAGGGAGAAATAAAACCAGAGTTGGTGAGTTTGACAGACTTAGAATCATAGGGCTGGAAGAGACTTCAGGAGGTCATCAAGTCCCAAAGCAGGACCAACCCCAACTAAATCAACCCAGCCAGGGCTTTGTCAAGCCGAGACTTAAAAATCTCTAGGGATGGAGATTCTGCCACCTCCCTAGGTGACCCATTCCAGTGCTTCACCAACACTGGAAATAGTTTTTCCTAATATCCAACCTAGGCCTTCCCCATTGCAATTTGAGACCATTGCTCTTTGTTCTGCCATCCGTCACTACGGAGAACAGCCTTTCTCCATCCTCTTTGGAACCTCCACCAGCCCCTGGGCAAAGCAGAGGGGCCAACTCTACACTCCAGGAAGTCAGCTCTCAGCACCATCTGGCGCACACCACACAGTCCTCTCCAGCTCTCAGAACCACCCAGAGTGCGCCATGCCATGCTCCAGTGGCAATTTTAAGGGCCCAGGGCTCCAACCACTGCCACTCCTGTGGCAGTAGAGGTGTTGGTATCTGGGAGCCTCTGGGCCTTTTGAATCACCAGGGAAATTGCCCCTTTGCCCCATCAGTGGATGAAACCAAGTGCAAAAGGAGATGGGCAAAATGATCAACACTGCCTCGTGCTCAGATTTTAAAGGTATTTAGGCATTACCCCACACATCATTGCAAAGTATAACCCAGGCACCGAAGTCACATTTTCAAGAGTAGCCTAGTCATTTAGAGGCTAAATCACTATGTAGATGCGGTGATACTGAGCATGGCAATACCTAACTTTTAGGCCCCTAGAAAACCACAGGAACAAAATTACAATTTGCAAAGCCTAAGCTGAACACCTAGCCGACTGCATGGGGAGGAGACAGGCATCCTATGATGTAATTCAAATAAGCCAGTGTAACCCACACACCTATTGGGTGTGGTTCACAGTCCCTTGTAGTGTCACTTAGAACATAAGAGCATAAGAACGGCCATACTGGGTCACACCAAAGGTCCATCTAACCCAGTATCCTGTCTCCCTCTAGAGGGAGGGAACACAACAGGTAATCATCACATGATCCCTCTCCTGTCATCCATTTCCAGACCAGAGGCTAGGGACACTATTCCTACCCATCCTAACAGCTATTGATGGACCGAACCTCCATGAATCTATCCAGCACTTTTCTTGAACCCTGTTAAAGTCCTGGTCTTCACAACATCCTTAGACCACTTTCAGTGAGAGATAAGAATGAGTGAGCTCCACAGCCTAATCAAAGAGTCAGCTGGCTTTATAGCTCAAGCTGCAAAGAATCATGCACTAAGCTTCAGAGGTTCCAGGTTCAAATGTGCCTGTCAGCAGTTACACCAGCACACTAGATGGGGAGCTGCCTAAGCTTAGCCAATGGAAGATGTCTCCAAGACAGGTGTGTGCTAAGCCATGCCCCTCTCACAGAGACTGAGGGAGACTCACAGCAGAATATACCATAGGCCAGAGTTTAATGTTCTAATTCTTTCTGCCCCTTCAAGAAAGGGAGGATTTGTGTCTGGGTCTTCCACCTTGTAGGTGAAAGCTCTAAATTGCTGGGCTAACAGGTATAAGGTAGGTACCATCTTCTACTCTCGTCGCCAGATTTTAAATGGGAACTTATTCCGTAGGTAGCCTCTGGTTACATCAACTGGACTGGGCCCCCCACACAATACTGGGTTGTGAATTACTCAGGGGCATACATGGGAGACAAATGTCCAGAGGCCTAGAGTGAGGTAGCAGCACACAAGCTCTAATGGGCACTGAAAGAACTTCTGACCTGAAACCTTAGAGGCCAAGTGAGTTTATGTGCCTATAGCTTATGAGCATAAAACTGAAATTTAAATACCCGAGTCAGGAATTTAGGTATCCATGTGAACACAGGCCTTAGGAGACTAAGTCCCATTGACTTTCAATGAGACTTAAGCTACAAAGTCATTTAGGTATTGTAATGCCGAGCAGAACAAAGACTAAATATATTTGAAAATGTGGGCCTAAGTAATTTAGCGAAGTCCTATTTCGCAGAATGATGTAGGCACTTAGGAATCTAAACCTCATTTCAAGTCAGTCCCTGACATATGGTTGAAAATGGGCTTCAGGTATTTTTTTTAAACATTTACTGAATGTTATTATTTTTTCTAAAACATTTGCTTCATTGAGGACAGCTGAAAACGCATATTCACTTTCCAAAGTCTCAGGTGGCATATGCCATATCTGCCTCAGAGATGGTGTATCTTTCTGAATGAGATGAGAGCTGGTCTATGCTGTGCAAATGAGTGAGGGAATGATATATTGTTTAACCTTTGTATTCACGGTAGTTCACCTTATGAAAAGTGTCAGGATTCCAATCCTGTACCAAACCATGCATGTTTCTGCATTAAAATATTGCATTTCTATATAGGAAAGCACACACCTAATCTAAAAAGGAGTGTATTCTCTGTGTATGTATTCCTCCAAGAGCAACAATAGGCAACCTAGGCCAATGAGTGGGCCACATGAATGGCCCTCCATCTCAGTGGGCTGCAAGATTGTCATAATCAAGATAGTCTCCTGGGATAGGAAAGTTTTGCTAACTTTGCTTGCATATCTAGAATTTGCAGGGTGTGGCGACAGAATCAAAGGAGAGCTTTGATTAGATGCAGAGGGACCGCATGGCTCTCTCAGTCACAAGAAAACAAACAAACAAAGGATTGCCTATTGCTATATCCATCTCATCCCATCCCTCCTCAGCTGCTTCAATGTGAGTGTGGAGAGACGAGGAAGGAAGAGAATTGTCATTGCACATCTGGAACATTCCAGGCTGTGGTGGACCAATGAAGGGATTAAGTTCCAAAATGGAGGACTTTTCACACACAAAAATTTACCAGCAATTCCCTCCTGTTTATATTGAGGTAGCTCCAATTTTGAGTCCCTTTTCTGATCTCAACTGTGGCAATGCACCACAGGCAACCAGATCCCAAACCTTTTAGGGCTCTTTATAGGTTAAAACCTACACCTTGAATGTCAGAAGCTTATTAGCAGCCAGCGCAGATCGTGGAGCACTAGCCTGATATTCAATTCCACGTCAAGTGCAATTCCACTTACGCAGGAGGCAGCAGCCTTCTGCTGTAGGGTCAGTTTCTGAATGTTTCCAAGGTAAAGCTCATGCACAGCATATTACAGCAATCTTATCCTGGGTAATTGTGGTAAGGTACAAATCAGAGAGGAAACACTGTTTAGCCAGGTGCAGTTGGAAAAATGCACTTTTGGCAGCATCTTGGACATCCAAGAGCAACCCAGAATCTAACTCAGTCACTATCTTTGTTCTGTGTTTGCACCGTGCTTAGCACAGTGGCGTCCTGCTCAAAGACTAGGGCTCCTAAGCCTAACAATGTTACTACTTATACAACAAGTACTTAGAATAACAATAGCACTGCCATAATGTCCATCTGTTTTACAAACTGATAATGGACTTGGTGCCATCAAAAGCCACACAGACACTCAAAGGTATTTTAAAAGCTCAAATACTATAATCAGAATAATTTATCATACCTAGGCTTCTCATCACGAGTGTATGCAGACCAAGTGCAAGAGATTTCAGCTCTGGTTGAACACACCTAAAACAGACAGATGTAAGTCATCACCTCGATCCCTAGAAATACTCACAATTTACCTATGGCATTATTATTTTGAATGACAGAATGCAAAACTTCAAAAGGAAGCTGTCTCAGAATTGTCAAAAAGATATTAAATACTATGCAAAATATGAACTAATCAAGTGCTCTCCATCAAATTTGCCCTGAGAAATCAATACACTTCATATAATTAGTGAGGAGAATGTATATGAAGTATCAGCACCTTCTACACAGCATTTGAAGAAAGTGGTGTCCTTAAATATTCATTCTTTTCATTACAGGCTTTATTTTCATTACATGGACGGGGGAACTAGGATATTTGCTTTATGCAAAGCTTCTAGAAATGGTACAATTGGAGCAGTATTGTAATGACATTTCTACAGCTGTGTTTTCAGGAGCCTCATTCTTAAAAAAAAGAGGAAAAGAAAGCCATCTCTCAAATTGGTGTATAACTAATTTCCAAGAGATTAAACCACACTGACATAGATTTTGTGTAAGTTGTCCTATCTGTGTTGGATCTCTTTACAGTTATTGTCATGAAAAACACCCTTTAAAACAAGTTACGTCTGCAAGAAGGTGAGTTTAATGCTTTTTCTGCACATTCATATATAACAAAGTAATTATTAGAACTCTTGTTAGAATTCCAACTGAATTTGCTTCAAAATTGCCTTTGGGATTTCTCGGTGATCAAACCTTCGCATTACCAAGCATTTATAACTACCTATTTCAGATCAAGAAACTCTCAACAAAATGTGTTTTCAATGGACTTCTTTTTGTTCTTCAGCATATTCATACACAGTACATATCTATTTGTGTTTTCAGCTCCTAATCACAGTAATACAAAAGTCAAATGCAAAAGCTGTCATGGGTCAACTTAAGAGCAATAGGGTAAAATTTAAAGCATAAAAGCAATAGTTATATTTGTTGGTAGTTCCCACAAACTGCTTTCATGCATCATAATAGAAAATGGATTCAGAGAAGACAGCAGTGAAAGTGTCAGATTTCAATTAAGTTGTTGTAATTTGGAGAAATTAAGAATTCTAGGTCTCCATGCTGGGAAAAGCCCTTAGTGATATTAAAATAATGATTTTGATTACACTTACCTAAATGTAAGCACGTATAAGGGGATGCCTCCTAAAGCATAGAAAAAGGCACTTACGACTTGTATTACTGAATAATAAATAAATTTTCTTGAACAGTGATCGCTTTTTGGACATAGTCCCAAAGTTACAGAGCTATTTCCTGATTGTGATCCTGTAATTTCAATGCAGCTGCAGTTATGATATACCTGAAAGACAGAATGAAAATAAAGGCAAAACCTCGCGAAAAGAAACATGGCCCAGAAAAACACACTAGGAGCTTCTAACTAGCTCTTGTTTGCATTTCTCAGAGGTTTCTGTGTTCAGTAGTTTCTTGGTTTCTTTCCTATGTGTCATGTACTTCTTGTACATGGTAGGTTACAAAGCACAAGCAGGTTAAGTTTCTGGATCAATTATAAACTTACTACACAGCTTATTTCTCAGAGAGATGCATGCCAGATATCTTGACTATAGAATCCTTTAGTGCTCTGCCAGGTCCAGCTAAGATTAGCTTAAATATTGATACACAGCACCGCGTAATGCCTGAATCATATAATGCAGTTTAGTATTCACAGAAAGGCATGGTTGTGTTCCCTTACCAGGACCTGAACTCAGTTCACAGCAGTGAAAGTGTGTTGAATCCTAGTCACGAGATGAGCAGGGAGAATTTAAGAGATGTCATTAAGTCCATTCCCCTGCACTCATGGCAAGATCAAGCACCATCTTAACCATCCCTGATGGGTATCTGGCTAATCTGCTCTTAAATATCTCCAATGATGGAGATTCCACAACCTCCATAGACAATTTATTCCAGTTCTTAACCACCCTGACACTTAGGAATTTTTTTTCTAATGTCCAACCTAAAACTCCCTTACTTCAATTTAAGTCCTTTGCTTCTTGTACTATCATCAGACGTTAAGTAGAAAATGTTTCTTTCCTCCTCCTTGTAACAACCTTTTATGTACTTTAAAAGTGCTATCATGTGATCTCTCAGTCTTCTGTTTTCCAAACTAAACAAACCCAGTTCTTTCATTCTTCCTGCATGGGTAAAGTTTTCTAGACCTTTAATAATTTTTTTTTGTTCTTCTCTGGACCTTCTCCAATTTGTCCACATCTTTCCTGAAATGTGGCGCCCAGAACTGGACACAGCACTCCAGTTGAAGTCTAATTGGTGCAGAGTAGAGCAGAAGAATTGCTTCTTGTCTCTTGCTTTTGTCCCCACAAAAATAAATCCATAATTAATTCAGTGGCCACCAATCCATTGATCACAATCAGCTGGTCAGTCTTGGCGCCTCTGCCAGTTGATTGTGATGTCTGGGCTGCTAAAAGTTTAGCTGTGCATCAGGGCTCAGGGATGTCTCTATGGCCCTTTGTTGAAGGGTGGGGGGCAGGAAAAGGTGGCTCTGTGGGCTGCCTCCACCTCCAGTGCTGTCCCCCCAGTTCCCATTGGCCAGGAACCTTAGCGTAGCCAACATTGGATTTACAAAAGGCAAACAAATGGAGATCTGTAACTCCAACAATGTACATGTTATGTGTTCTCCTCAATGCCCAATGTGAGTTTGTTCCAATACACAGCCTGACTCTTGGGCTCAAGCTCCAGAGCCTCCAGCATCTAATTTGAAGGTCAGAGGTTTTCAGAGGTCCCCACAAATGGACTATCATTGCTCTTGCTCTGTTATCCATTTGATCTTTTCTAAATATCCATCACTGATATACCAATATTCTTAAGCAAAAAACAAAAACAAAACACCAAAAAACCAACCAACCCACCCACCCCTGGGCAACAAGGCACTTACGGTGTTCTTGCCATATCCTGTCGAAGCCTTGCATCCGGCAAGACACGCAGAGATGTATGAGATTCCATTGTCTCCACAGACAGGGTCCCATCGGTTTGTGGCACATTTACAGTCAGCATTGCAGGCAGAAAATGGGCTATTTTCATGATGTGCCACTGGTTTGCTTACAAGGTAAATTTACAAATGCATAAAATTATTTTAATTCAAAAGCTATCTTTCATTTAAACATTAAAGACTAATTTAGAAACTTTTTCCTTTCCCTTCTATTTGATGTCCTTATCATAGAGCTAAGCTAATATTTCAGATAGACAAACTTAAATTATTCCTGTTCTTGTACATGGATCTTGTTGCGTTAGCTTCCATCCCAGGTACATTTGAAATACACATAACTACTGGGTTAGGAAAAATTCTGACAAAAAGAAATTTCAGGTTATTATAGCTGAGAAAAATCAGACCCTTTGTTCTTACTACCAGTAAAATTCTGGACTGTGTTCAGTTCCACCATTCTAGCTACCAAACCGAATGAATTTTGTATATGAATCATGCTGACAGTTACTCAAATAAGACCCATACCCCAAACTGATGTAATTATCAAGTCCAAAAACTAGCAGTATGTAACTTACACACACTCACTGTGTTTGAATCACTCTCACTCTCTCTAATGTGAAAAGAGGGATGCATTCTCATCTGGTGTAAATCCGTGTCATTCCATTAGAAAATGCCAGATGCTAATGAATTTAGATTTATAAATTCTAAGTATACCAGCCTTCAGGGAATACACTCATTACTAAAATGGTGTCTTTGTAGTTAGTCATAACCACACATTTGTAATGCTTCTCTGCTACCGTCTCAAGAAAGGTATAGCTATATGTTATAGAAAATGTATACCTACCTATCATAGGATACTGTCAGTCCTGCCACTACATGGTTCTCACAGCCCACAAAAAATTGAGCGACGCTTATGAGAAAAGCCATAAATGACATCACCAATCCAAATTTTGTAGCTTCAACGATGCCCAATTTGTACTTCTTCATTATGAACCCCCCTAAAAATATCCCAATGCTTACAGCAGGCAAAGCAGTTACTCCTGCAATGGGAGAGAGAGGAGGAATATTGAAGTGGTATAGTCTTATTCAGTCACTCATAACTGATTTCACAGGTGTGGTGTTGAAATTGCTGAACATTTGAATAACATATTGCCTGAAAAATATCATCCATTTATTTCAGGAGGCTCAAAATACCATGACATTTTAAGAGCCCAAGGACCTCCTCTAATATTTTTGTCAATGTACCTGTAAAAATTACATCTAGAGCGGTGTAAGTCAGGACCAAACTTTGTCCCAACTCGGGCAGCATCCTGAGAGGAAAAGGAGGCATAAGGATCCACATTATGCCCTTGTGTTGATTACCTGTACCCAGGCTTACGGATGGGGTGTGGGGTGGAGGCAAAGGGGAGAGAGGGTGCACCAGGAATTTAAAAGGATCCGGGGCTCTCCACCACCACCACTGCTACTGCGGCAGCTGTGGATGCTCCGTGCAGCTCCGAGGGCTGGGAGGTGTGCGGGGTTGTCTAGGCAGCACTAAGGCCACCCCCAGGGCAAGGTGTGTATGTGTGTGGGGCAGGGGAAGGGGGACAGCTGGCTGGCCTATCCCTTCTGGCAAGCCTGGAGCTGTCCCTCCACCCCCATACACCTTGGCCCTGAGGCCACAGTGGCTGGCTGTTGTCCCCACTGGTTGCAGCATGGGAGAGGAAGTAGGATCCAGAGAACCATGAGATTTTTCTCCCCTTAGACGGAACATTGGCTTTGCCCATCCAAAGTATCAGCCAGAACAACTGCACTGGTACATTAGGTGACATGCAGCGCACACCATGTAGAGGCCCAATGTGGGGTACCAGGAGGCAGTGGGGACACTAGGAGGCAGACAGTGGCAGGCATCTACAGACCTGTGCCAGCTTGCAGCATGAACAGGGATGAGTTTGTGGCCTGCACTGTGCAGGGGGTCAGACTAGATGATCATAATGGTCCCTTCTGACCTTAAAGTCTATGAGTCTACGAGTTTCAATAGTCCTTCAACCCCTGTTGCACAATGTACTGAATCCTTTACGTCCTGGCTCTTGCAAAGCCTATGTCCCTGTTGCCTTTTGCACCGATAGTAATGTGCCTGCAGCGGAACAGCTGTCTGTTGCAGACTTTGCAGATATATGCCATTACCCAAGGTACTACTGTCTGGAGGACTGCTGAACAACCTTCTTCCCTCAGTTTTGCAACCCAGAGTTGCTTTTACACTGCTTCACTACAGGTATGTCTAGACTGCATCCCTCTGTCAGCAGAGGGATGCAGATTAGGCAGGTTGACATTGCAAATGAGGCAGAGATTTAAATATCCTGCACGTAATTTGCATAAAAACGGCTGTCACCGTGTTTTGCCAGCTCAGCACTTTCTCGGCAAAAAGCGGCAGTCTAGAGGAGATCTGTCGAGAAAGAAAGCCTTTTTCAACAGATCCTGTAAACTCCTTGCAGGAGGCATAAGGGATCTGTCAAAAAAGGCTTTCTCTCTCAACAGATTCCCCCTCTAGACTGCTGCTTTTTGCCGACAAAGTGCTGAGTTGGCAAAACACGGCAACGGCCATTTTTATGCAAATGAGGCACAGGATATTTAAATCCCTGCCTCATTTGCAATGTCAACCTGCCTAAACTGCATTCCTCTGCTGACAGAGGGATGCAGTCTAGACATACCCTTTGAGAGCAGCCATGTAAATCAGCTCTGGCCAGTTACTCTTCAATTACATTGCTCAGGAGAGATTCAAATACTGCTCAGCTGATTACCAGAGTGCCCGCTGTGAAGTTTTTGTTTCTACTGGTGGTGCACATTCCCACATGCTTTAGTGCACATAGAAAAGTTTATTCTGTACATGGATGGACAAAATCCACAGATAGATGTAAAAGAGTAGAAGGAACATTTCCCAGCACCCTCCTGGGATGGTTCTCAGATATACACATAAGTGTAGACAAAGCCTGTAAGACTGTCTCCCACAAACTGCCACTTGGTGTGTCTGCTCCAAAGTTGCTGATGATAAAGTCATAATAGAGTCCTGAGCAATTCCTTATACTCAAAACTTCATGCAAATTTATTCTGGCACCCATCTTTTAAAATTTTGGCTTGTGAAAAGGAAACAGACACACAACAATCATGCTGTCCACCAGAAAATTAGGCTCTGTGGTGGCTTTATATAATTCCATCACAGAAAAAGGACTCTTTTTTTTTTGCATCCCTTAAAGAAACAATAGCCAAACTTCTCACAGAATGCTCAATAAAAGGCACATCAAAACACTTTCCAAAGCACTATAACACTCACCTGTTACAAAGTTAGATTTAGATGTTGACTGACCATACTGCTGCTCCATGTATTTTGGTTTGTAAGTCAAGAAACCAACAAAGCTACAGAATTGTAACAGTGTACAACACAAAAATGTGATGTAAATTCTATTACTCAACACTTTTTTCAGAGAGAGAACAAAATCTGAAAGAAATGATATACAGTTTCATTTTTTAAAAATGCTTGGAATAATTATTGGTAAACAATATATGAGATTTGGAGCCAAATCCTGCCCTCAGACACCTATGTGCTTACTCCACAGGTTTCAGTGGGATCTGCAGATGAGTATCTCTGGGCAGAATTGTGTCCTCAATTAGAAGGGTCAGTCTGCTCACACAAATTTCACTGCAGGACCAGACCTAAGTGATTTCTCCATGGGTCCTCTGTACCGTGACCATGTCATGCATTGGGAACTGCAGCCAATAATTTTAGTTTATCAATCATTTACTGTGTGATAGTATGATTAAATAACATGTTAAGTCATATGTGATATGTTAAAGAGAGTTAAGGTATAGGATTATAGAAGTATATGATAGATCATAGTTAGATGGGATAATTATGTAATAGGTATCTAACTAAGTAAGGCTGAAATGCAAGACCTACAGCAGCCGTGACCAATCTGCCACTCATGAACCTCATGCGGCTCTTCCCACCCTAGAGCGCAGCTCGCGAAGTCACCCCCGTGGCGCGTAAATCCACCCCCATGTCCCTGAAAATGGCCTTCTCCTCCCGACTCCCTGTGCTCACCAGCCATTAAAGATGGAGTATTAAAGATGTTGTTGGCTGGAGGGAGCCTGATGCGGCCAAAAAGCCTCTAAATGTTTTTTGTTAATGTGGCAGGTTTTTTTTTTTTTTTTTGCTTGAACGTGACTGGAGGCTCCTTTTAAAGGGGCAGCCCTCTTTTTTTTTTCTTTTCTCATGACAACTTTGCCCCAGTTCTTCGTGCTGGATCCACTGATGTCTTGGTTCTTTGCTTGGAATGGGTTGGCCATAAGATTTTAGCTTAGCCATACTAGGCCATAGGCTTAATAAATTCTGGATATAAATACGTAACCCTATATAATAAGACTGTGAGAAAAGATACAGTCTGCCTTGCTGGGAAAAGACCCTTCTGGCTTTTTTATGCTTACCCATCCCTAATTTTAACACAGATTTTAACTAATTTGGGTCACTCATTTTTCCTCAGTTCCAGTTTGTTTCTAGCACAAACTTTTAAATGGAGGTCCTAACTCAACAAGGGACGACCTTCATAGCCGCTGGGCACCCAATGACTTCAAAGAAGTGTGTGTCGGGACGGAGGGAGAGTGCGGGCAGAAGTGGGGGGTTGCTGTGTTACACCATGCTGATAGGTTTCCAGTTTGGTAAAACATATGAAACACTTGCCTTTTGAAACTACTGACCACTTCATTGGCTGATGGCTTTCAGATTTGTATTGCTTGCTCTGGTCTCCTTTAATTTTGGAGAGACCAGATGAAGTTTTGCCATTATTTTTTTCCTCCGGCTTATTCAGACTCTTGGGCAGGAAACAGAATGGTATGCCAGCAATGAGATTAATCATTCCAGATATAAGAAAACCAAGCCACCACGCACCTACCCACCGGGAGTCTTTTGGCGTTATGGTTATGCTACCTAGAATAAAATGAGACAAAGAGTGAATTCTATTAACAAAAAGACTCTTCCCCACCTATTCCTCTAATTGCTGGGAACTCTGCATTGTACACTAGAAGGAAACTAAGTATTTTCATTGTTAATGAGATATATTGAAAGATGCCATAAAGCAAGCAGGGCCTCAGCAGGCACCTAAATATATTAGGTGGTGTTGTTTGTCCTTGCCTTCATACATTTGCTGACTTGTATAATTCAACGCTAGGTGCCTCCGAATTTATAGTACTTTTGAACACATGGGATCTGAAATAGGTGTCAGGTAGAGTCTCCCACACACCCTGGATCTGCTAGGATGCAGTACTTTCTACTAATCTATTTTTCTTATAGGACCTTCCAGCAAAACATTAAATCATGTTCCTAACAATAAGGACATGATGGGTCCTATTAGGGGGTTTCAGTCAGATTCATAGCATATGTAAGTCTGTACTATGGAGAATGTGGAAACTGTAATAATTTTTAAGAATATCGTATGTCTATCTATTTGTTGGGTAGCTTGTCTATTGTTTGCTTTGTGGCTACAAAAGAATTAAATCACGTGGGAACTGGCTACATTTGCTGAGGAGTAGACATTGGCTTCAAATAAGCCCTCCTGCTGGTACACAAATACAATAAAGGTGCCAATTCCTATTAAGTTTTACCTCTACCTTACTGTGGGCACTGCCTGCATGGTGCTTCCAAGTGTGTGCTTGTTTGGACAGGGTGGGGGAATCAAGGCAGGAAATCCAAACAGAAAGCTGTGTCATTGATAAAAAGGCAGCCTCTGTTGGGACAATAAGAGAGACACAAATCAAGGGTCTCCTGGCTTGTCTCAGCTGACAAAGGAAAGGTAGAGGTGCCTGCGATAAATAAGGCCTGCCTTAGCTCTAGCTAAGATGTAGATGTACTATTAGTTCTTTGGCTCCTAATGGAGCATAGGGCCTCAACAATCATTCTCCATCTCTTGCGATCCTTAGCGATAGTCTTGATTTGATCCCATGGTAAGCCAGCTGCTTTTACTTCATCCAGGCAGCTTCATCGCCATGTTTGTTTGGAACGTCTCCTTTTCATCACTTGTCTTGTGATACATTCCTCACGCAGAATATGGCCTGCCCATCGCCATTTTCTTTTCTTAATCTGGACCTCAATTGGTTTCTGATTTGTTCTAGTCCACAAGATTTCATTTGGCACTTTATTGTACCACTTTAGCTGGAGAATGTGTCTAAGGCTTTTATTGACAAATGTCAGAATTCTTTTAGTGTTGCTCTGAACAACGTGCAACGCCTCCGAGCCATACAGCATCACTGATTTCACATTGGAATTGAAAACACATAGTTTAGTTCTTATTGAAATGGCTCTTGTACCCCAGACTGGTCATAGTATGGCAAAAGCTTGTTGCATCTTTCTTATTCTTGCACTGATGTCCTCTTCAGTTCTCCCATTCTTGCTGATAACCAGGGCTCGTCAAGCCGCAGTGAGCCCTGCTCGCCAGCAGGGTGGTTCAGCACACTGCGCATGTGCTGATCACACTGTGGCACTGTACCGGGTTATAATCTACTCACCTGTGAGGAGTAGATTACCTTAATTGTCGAGCCCTGCTGATAACACTTCCCAACTATACAAACTGATCTACCTCTTGCACAGCTTGCCCACTCGCTTAGCTGTTTCCTGAAGGGCATGTTTCTTCTCTCGCATATGCTCTAATTTGTCTGCAAGCAGGGCTAAGTCGTCTGCAAACTCTAGATCTTTAAGTTTCCTAGTTTGAGTCCATTGGAGTCCCCCTCCTGAGTCAGCATATGCTGTTTTTGTGACCCAGTCTGGGACAATCAGGAAGAGTAATGGTGAAAGAAGGCAGCCTTGGCATACACCTGTTGTGACCTGGAATTTTTCCGAAAATTTTCCCTCATGGATGACCTGGCAAGAGTATTCTTCATACAGTTTCTTGATGATGATAATCAGTTTGCCTGGAACTCCATAATGTTGAATGATGATCCAGATGGACTGCCTGTCCACACTATCAAAGGCTTTCATAAAATCTGTGAAGTTGATATGGAGTGGTGCTTGCCATTCAATTCATTGTTCTACGATGATCCGAAGTGTTACTATCTGGTCTGTGCAAGATCGTCCTCCCCTAAAACCTGCCTGCCCTTCTCTTAGTTTGCGGTCTATGGCATCTTTCATTCATTCCAGGATGACTCTTGTTAATACTTTGCTTAGGATAGACAGGAGAGTAATCCCCCTCCACTCTTCACACAGTGACAGATCACCGGATTTAGGGAGTTTCACTAGCAGCCCTTTTCTCCAGTTCTTTGGGATCTCTTCTGTTGTCCATATCAGATTTAGCAAACTGTGCAGCAGGTCCACTATAGCAGCTCCTCCTCCGTTTAGTACTTCAGGTGAAGTATTATCAGGTCCTGCTGCCTTGCCATTCTTTAGGTTCCTTATTGCCTTGCAGACTTCCTCTTTTTTAATTGCCCCAGTGTTGATGTCTAGGGGTTCTCCTACTTCTAGCTGTAGTGGACTTGATGGTGGTGGTCTGTTTAACACTTCTTCAAAATGGTCCTTCCATCTGGCTAGCTGGCTCATCCACTGAGGTAAGTAGCTGACCATCTTTGTTTTTGACTGGTCTGCTTGGGTTTCTCTTCCTTCCACTCAAGACTCAAATTGTATTGTACAGGGTTTCCTTGTTTAGATGCTGCCTCTGCTTTTTCTGCAATCTCGTTTATGAAATTTCTCTTATCACTGCGGAGACTTTTCTTCAGTTCCCCAGCGATTTCATGGTATCTGGATGATGCAGCTTGTTTCTGGCCTCTTGCTTTTGCTTGGTTAACTTGTTGTTTGAGTGCCTTCCGTTCTTCAATCATTCTCCATGTCTGCTCTGTGATCCATTCCTTCTGGTTAATGGAAGGTTGCCCTAATACCACCTTACATGTAGATGTTTATTATTTTAAGAGCTGTTCCTCTGATTGCCTTGGTTCTGAACCAGCAATGCTTCCCTTAAAGAAACCTGCTTGGTCAGTGTATTAGCCACTTGTTGAAGCTTCCGAAGAAAGTCTGTATGTGGATCCAAAATGCCAGTTGAACCTGCTCAGAAATGATGATTGGTCCAAGAGGGATTGCAGCTGAAGGCCAGGTCTGAGAGCAAGAGACCTGCAGGATTCCATCCCAAAATGAGGTGAAGGGAATGAGGCCTGTCACCGGAGAGACTTCCCTTTAGGAAACCAGGAGCTGTAGTTAATCCAGTGACCATGGCGCACACGGCCAAAATTTAGTTGAGATCATGGCCTTCAAAAAGCGAAATAAGCAAACACCTCTATGGCAGCATGGTGAACAATCTCCTTCTGCAAGTATAGGCTGAGATGTTAGACTGCTTAAATATCACAGATGGGTGTTAAATTTAAGCACGTCTGTCATACAGGTTGAACCTCTGTAGTCTGGGACACTCTGGTCCAGCAACATCCAGGGTCTGGAAGGACCACGGATGTTGCTGGACTAGAGAGCCCCAGAACAGAGGTTGCTAGCAGCTGGGAGTGGAGCCGGCCAGTGGAGCCCATGGGGTACCAGAGCACACAGCCAGTTGGGCTGGGAGGCAGGCAGGGGCGCCAGAGCCCAATGAGGGGGGGGCCCAATGCACATAGCTGATGGGGCCAGAAGGGGGAGGGGAGGCTGCAGAACTCACTGCTGGTAGGGCTGCAAGTGTCCATAGGGTTGCTTCCAGAGCTCCTGGGACAGTCAAGTCCACTGGAGCTCACAAGGCTGCTGCAGGCAGGGGGCCAGGGCAGCAGTGGCAAGGAGCTAGGGAGAGGAGCCCAACGGAGAGGCTGGTGCCCCATCTCAACCTTCCCTAGTCTAGAAAACTCCCTTGACCCAGACCAGTTAGGTCCTGAGGGAGCCGGACCAGGGAAGTCCAACCTGTATTATTTATTTGTGTTACACGTGCTCATGTGTTTGCAATAGAATGGAAAAGAATTCGCATGCATGTCTGTGTGTGAAAATTTGAATGCACATCAACAGCCCCTTTGAAAACATCACCTTTGAGTAATAACCCCTCAGTAAAATTTGAACTCAGTAACAAAGAGTAGTGTTAAACAATTAACATCTTATATGCTCAGCCAACATTTGAAATTAGCCAACCTAAAATGAAAAATGGTTATTAGCCAAGTAAGGACATGACTAAGCAAAGCATTCAGTGAGGGTGCCTAGGTATATATTGAAATGGAAGCACACATACTTAAAAAAATTGAATAGGGATGGATACAAGCCCATGCTGAAGTGCTTTTGTGAATTGGGACTAAACTATTCTCCATACTTACACCTAAGACAATTTTTACTTTTACAGTGAAAATAATTTAGGCTCACCTCTCCTTGAAACAAACTTATAAGATTGTTATCATTATTATTTACTGAAAGGCATGCAAATATTAGACACAGACTGAGATAAGCTCTAGCCATATTGATTTTTATAAAACTTTAATGTAATTGGCTCTCCATTTTTCCTTACCTAGATCCACAAATCCAATATCCACATATAAACTGGCACACAGCGATCCCAACAGGTAGCCAAACATTGGCCCGATCATTGCTATTGTGTGTAAACATGCTGAAAATATAATGAAGTAGACACCGAAAAATTTAGTCATATAAATAAATATATATATAGGTATAAAGTAGCTCAATTGGGGAGTGTTAGACTGAAGGTCCCTGGTTCAGTCCCATGTCTGTAAGTGCAGCATGGCCCTCCTGAGCTCCTCATTCATCTTTTAATAGCAGCGTTGTGAGCAAGACACAGGAAGCGATTCTTCCGCTCTACTCTGCACTGATTAGGTCTCAGTTGGAGTATGTTGTCCAGTTCTGTGCGTCACATTTCAAGAAAGATATGGAGAAATTGGAGAAGGTCCAGAGAAGAGCAACAAGAATGATTCAAGGTCTAGAGAACATGATCTATGAGGGAAGACTGAAAGAAGTGGGCTTGTTTAGTTTGGAAAGGAGAAGACTGAGAGGGGACATGATAGTTGTTTTCAAGTATTTAAAAGGGTATTACAAGGAGGAGGGAGAAAAATTGTTCTCCTTGGCCTCTGAGGATAGAACAAGAAGCAATGGGCTTAAACTGCAGCAAGGGAGGTTTAGGTTGGACATTAGGAAAAACTGCCTGTCAGGGTGGTTAAACACTGGAATAAATTGCCTAGGGAGGTTGTGGAATGTCCATCACTGGAGCTATCTAAGAGCAGGTTGGATAGACGTCTATCAGGGATGACCTAGATGGTGCTTGGTCCTGCCGCGAGGGCAGGGGACTGGACTTGACCTCTTAAGGTCCCTCCTAGTTCTAATATTCTATGATTCTATAGCCCTACATATTTTCCATCTATTCTTCTTATTCATGGCCTAGAACCAGTGTATTCCAGGAAGTACAAAGACTAGCATCCTAGGGGGAGTGGTGTGTCTCCTTTTTGGTGAAAAAGATCACGCTGGGAATATTAATTTATGATTTATTGATTAATTTAAATTTTTTAGTGGCCATCCAAGACGACAAGAGACAAATTAACTCTACTCACATAAAACTCAAATTTAAGTCTCAGTTCAAGTAGAATAAACTAGGCTTGGTGGGTTAAGACAAAAACATTACATGGAAATTTATATGACTTCATAATTTTCTTTTGAAGGCAGGAATCAACTAAGAAAGAAGGCTACAATTTTCAACAAAATCCAACGGACATACTTAGGCATCTAACACATATAGGTTCCTTTGAAAATCACAGTCAAAATGGAGAGTAGAGTGGTAAGGATAACTAATTCTTTGTTTAGGTGGTAAAACAAAACTAAACTAAAAAAACCCCTAAAAAACCACAAAAGTTAAAAAAAAAACCCTATAAAAATAAATAAATGATAAAAAATAAACCCACTGAAAAAGTCACCAAAATTTCATTTCAGGATTTTAGGTCAAATGAAATGTGATGTTCAACCTGGAAGAAAAATGTTCATTATTGAGGGATTTTTTTTAACTTTATAAAAATTTGTTAATAAAAGTGCAGAAAATTTTGAAATGAAAAGTAATTTGGAATTAAAAAGCTGACATATTTCATGTAGAAAAAAATCACCACAAATTTTTTTTTCTGATTTTTTTTATTGTCTGATTTGTCATTTGCATTTCTAAGGTTTCTTAGGAGCGAGGCTGTTTGTGTTTTGATTGACTAAAACCATTTGGCAAATTCAACACTAACACACAAAATTTTCTGTTGATGTAAATTTGCATTTATCAGACAAAAAAAAGTTTTATCCAAAATATTTTGTCTGGTTTAATGGACAGAATTTTATTTAAAAAATATTGAACTCTTTAGAAGAAGATATAGATGACCTACAGGCAGTCCCCGGGTTACGTACAAGATTGGGACTGTAGGTTTGTTCTTAAGTTGAATCTGTATGTAAGTTGGAACTGGCGTCCAGATTCAGCCGCTGCTGAAACTGACCGCCA